CCCCTACTCCCAACTTGATAGGAGAGAAGAAACCAATGGATCCCCCAGCTGTGGTTTGAAGGGCAGGGGGGAGGCCTGGATCCCAGATTGGCTTGAGGATGAGATAGGTCCTCTCTCCTCCAACCGGTGACCCCAGGTCCCTCTGAAGTCATTCTGACAGGTCTATTTGCCTGAGTTCCATTCACCAGCAGGGCTGAGGTTAGGTGGGGGTTAGGTGGAAGAATCCACAGAGCATTATGGGTCTCTAGTCTTGCCCCTCTGGTGCCTGGGGTGTGGCGGCTGCTGTGGAGTGTGGAATGATGACTCCCAGCTGTGTGCATGTTTTGAGGAGGTGGGGTGAGGAGGACAGAGGAGAGGAGGCAGCCTTCCAGTCTCTCCTTTCATCCTGTTCCCAAGGACAGCTGGTGACCTGCACTTGCAGCTGGGAGACAAGGCCAGCAGTCTCCTATGGTGAATGACAAAAGCTATCCCCAGCTCCCCATCCTAAGGAAACTGTGTCATGAGTGGCTAGCTCCCTGTTCTATTCCTTTCTATTCTCAAGCAGAGGGAGGGTTTCAAGTAGCTATGCATTAGACAAGCATCTTGGTGCTATAGTTTGCACTGTGGAAAGAGCCCTGGGAATGGAATTAGGAAGACTAGGTTTCAGCTTGACTTTGTAGCTAATGAGTTGTGTAACTTTGAATGGATCCTACCATCCATCTCTCTCCAAACTTTGGTTTCCTCACCTGTACAATGAGAGTAATAATACTTGCACTGTTTATCCCAAGAACTAGTTGTAGGGAAAGTATTTTAGAAATTTGAAACTTTGATAGTTGTTAATTTTTGTTTTGTTGTTGTTGGGTTTTTTCTTTCTTTCTTTCTTTCTTTTTTTTTGACTGAGACTGAGATTTCTTTGGTGTAGAAACTCCCAATGAAGAGACTTCTTCCACCAATGCAGACCAGCAATGGCTCTGCCACTTAGAGCCTTAGTTTCCTGGGGCACAGAGAGATTAAGTGATGTGGGAGGATCACTCAGTCAGTACATGTCAGAGGCAGGATTTGATCCCAGGTCTTCCTAGCATAGTGCCTGACATATGGCAGGTGTTTAATAAGTGTTTGTTGATTGGCTGATTGAGTTCCGATGCTGAGACTTATTCTTTATCCATGATGACTCTGCTGCATTGTTATTGTCATTATTAGATCCTTGACCTGCAGGTGATACCACAGAAACATGATTCTGTGTACCAAAAACCTCCCACTCCGGCAGCACACCCAGACTGCAGAGCCCAAAAGCAAGCACCCTGTTATCCCAGAGACAGAGAGAACATGAAAAGTCATGTTCTCAATTAGTGACTAGCCCCTGTATGCAGGGCTGATGTTCTTCAGAAGCGATGGTCCCTCCAGTCCTCCTCAAGTTACCATGTATATACTTTCCTCCTTACATGTGTGTATATATGGACGTGTGTGTCCATGTTCACATATACATACATATATACACCTACACATGTACACATGCATATGTAAGCTCCTAGAGAAGCTTACTATACACATACATATATGTATACATATATGCTGTACATATAGGTATATATACTATACATATAGGTATATAGACTATACCTATATGTATACATGAACCCTAAAGGAACATACTATATAAACATATATGTGTATGCATGTACATGTGTGTATATTGTGCATATACACATGTGTGTATGTGTGCACGTGTGTATAGTAAGCTACTCTAGGGTTTGTTTGTCTTTGTATGCCCCGTATCTTAGGCGCAGTAGGATCATGGCGTTAGCTCTAGAAGGAACGTCCCTCAGAGGTCATATAATTCAACCTCTTCATTTACAAGTAGCACTGCCTTGGTGTTGCCAAAGAGATCAAGACGCTGCAGACAGATGCCTACTGGTTTTCAGGGATGAGTCTCCCAGCATTTTGCCCTTTCTTGATTCCATCAGGAATCTGCCCTAACCTGGGATGGAGGGAGGGTCATGATGTGATTCATAAGCATGCTCCCCCAGCCTTAAGGAATGTGAGCAGCTGAAGCCATGTGAGAGCTGAGGGACAAAGTAGTGGCACCAGAGCAGCCCACAGAAGCAGGAGAGAGGAGGGGAGCCGCCATGACAAGGAGCACATTTAGATACCAAGAGAGTGGAAGCTGCAGAGAGAGCAGTGCCAGGCATAAGAGAGAGATTTACAATTACACTATTTTGCTAAAGTGGTTCTGTGATTGGGGGCTCAGAACTGAAGGAAAGAAAATTATTGATTTTTTAAAAACAAAGAATAAGAGAGAAAACATTTCTTCTGTCTTAGTACTGAAAAGTTACTAGTCAGGCTGGAAGTACTCTAGCTAGCTGGGTTGGAATTAGAGGCAGGGTCTATGCCAGCTTGTCTTCTACCCCTCCCCCCAGTTTGGTTCTTTTTTTTTCTTTTACATTTTAATTTATTGTTTATTTTTTTACTTTATAGCAATCTTTTCTTTTTAAATTTTGAGTTCCAAATTATCTCGCTCCCTTTCATCCCCTCCCCAACCCACAAAGAAGGCAAGCAATATGATATCAATTATACACATGAAATCATGCAAAACATTTCCATATTAGCTATATTTTTTTAAAGCAAGAAAAAGAAAGTGAGAAAATTATACTTAAACTTGGACTCAGTTCATTAGTTCTCTCTCGAGGCGGATAGAATTTTTCATCATGAGTCCTTTGGAACTGTCTTGGACCATTGTTTTGATCAAGTAGCCAAGTCTTTCATAGTTGATCATCATCACAACATTGCTGTTACTGTGCACAATAATCCCCTGATTCTTCTCACTTCACTTCACATCGATTCACATAGATCTTGCCATGTTTTTTCTGAAATCACCCCCCCACCCCTTGTCATGTCTTATAGCACACTAGTACTCCATCATAATCATATGCAATGACTTCTCAGCTTGGTCCTAAAGGAAAACTTTGGGAGAGGAGCTAAAGGAGAGACTGGAGAGTCATATGGCCAAGGGAGTGACTGGAGGCATTAGCCTCACAGACATAGGGATGAGAGTGGGACAGAGTGATTAACCCTGCTCATCTGCACAGCAGACACCCACACCACCAAACTAACTGAAGGCCAAGGACGTTGAGTTGACTTGCCAAAGGCCCTTTGGCAAACTCAAAGTGAATGCACCCTGAAGGTCAGGGGCTTAAGCCCCAACAGTGCATCTAGGAAGAAGTAGAATAGGGATCCTGTGTGGTTCTTTCTCATGGTCCAGTTGAGCACTCAGGGACAGGAAGGCGATAACTACATAAACAACACATCTAGAACTCAGTTATCAATGAAGCAAGACAAAACTTACCACCCTATGCCTTCTCCCACTCTCTGTGGTTCCCCAGTAAGGCTCTCTCCAATAGTGTCCTAGAGCTGGCTCAAAGTTATTCTAGAGAGCCAATTGTTAAAATTTCAGAGCATTTACACTTCAGAAATAAAAAATGCTACAATTCAGGGTTTGATTTATTATTTTATTGATTTCTAGACTTCAGAAAGTGTTGGAGAAAATGTCAATAATGCAGATTAAATTTAAAAGTGTTGTGAGCACCATTTTGGGGGGAGAGACAGTTGTTAAACATTTACCAGCACACCTTGGTTCTGCCCCAGGTAGGTCCAACAGCTTATATCCTCTTCTCAGAAATTTTAACATTGGTGTCCCCAGGGGCCCAGCCGTGGGTCAGGTTCTCAAGCTTTGGGTAGCACTACTCAAATAAATAATAATAACAGTTCATATTTCTATAGAAATAACTCACATTTTTATAACACTTTGCAGTCTACACAGTACTTTCTTTCCACTGGCTCTGTGAAGTAAGTAGTACGGAAATTATTCTCCCCATTTTATAGATGGGGAAAGTGAGTTAGAAAAATTGTTTTTGTCCACAATTGTTCAAGTTGTTCAGTCATTTCAGACTCTCCATGACCCCATTTGCAGTTTTCCTTGGGAAAGACATGGGAGTGGTTTGCCATTTCCTTCTCCAGCTTTTTTTACTAATGAGGAAACTGAGACAAACAGGATTAAGTGACTTGTCCAGGTCATACAGCTAGTAAGTGGTTAAGGCTAGATTTGAATTCAGATCTTCCTGACTCGAGGCCGGGCGTTCTAGTCACTGAGCCACCTAGATGCTTGTCCCCAGTAACATGATTAAAGAAATGATACAGCTAGGATTTGAACCCTGTCTTGTCTCCAAGTTCTTGCTTTTTCCACTATAACTGTCAATCCTTAATAGATAAAATAATATCCTTAATAAATAAGATACATTTAAAACTAACCGTTGTGCCTGTTTTGCCAGTGAACCCTCAAACCCCTTCAACATGTGAGACCCTCTTTCCTAAACTAGACTCTCCCTAGGAACACAAGCCAGGAACTGAGAGTCCAAAGGCCTGCTCACAGGCGGAATGGCTTACATGAACTGATGAAGTGGAGTAAAGTGAGCAAAACCAGGAGAACATTGCACACAGTACCAGCCACACTGTGTGATGATCAACTTTGATAGGCTTAGCTCTTCTCAGCAATACAATGATCCAAGACAATTCCAAAAGATTCATGATGGAAAATGCTATCCATATCCAGAGAAAGAACTATGGAGTCTGAATGCAGATTGAAGCATAGTATTTTCTCTCTTTTTTTTCTTTCTTGTGGTTTTTCCCTTTTGTTCTGATTCTTCTTTCACAACATGACTAATGTGGAAATATGTTTATTATGATTATGCACATATAGCCTATATCAGATTGCATGAGAGGCAGAAAAAAATTTAGAACTCAAAATCTTATAAAAGTGAATGTTGAAAAAAAAAATAGTCATTATCCTAAAAACAAAACAACAACAATAACAAAAAGGTCTGCTCACTCCTGCTTTGGATCAGTTCTTCAGGGCAAGATCCTTTCCTGCCTCCCCAGTGGGCAATCACCGCTGGATGTGTATGCTAACAGCATAGCTGAACCCAGCCCTCTGCTGTGACCCAGTCATTATGTTCTTTTCCTTTCAGCTGGAGAGCTACATCCAGAGGAATATGAAGTCGGAGATGGTTCAGATCCAACAGAACGTGGTCCAGAACCAGACAGCTACCATGCTTGAGCTTGGCACCAACCTGCTCAACCAAACAGCCCAACAAACAAGGAAGCTCACCGATGTGGAAGCCCAGGTATGGGACTTGAGAGAGGAGTGGGGGCAGAGATAAGAGACATGAGGACATACCCAGAGGGATGTCTAGTAGGAGATGAGGTTGAGGATGAGGATGGGGAGGAAGGGGGCAGGTGATTGCCAGAGAGACTGGGGATAAGGGAAGAGACAGGGGGAATGTCTGAAAGACCTAGGAGCACAGTACAAGTCAGAGTTAAAGTGTTGTAGCGATGCAATGGAAGCCCCACACTTGCCTTCTCCCTGAGCTGAATCAAACTCTTCTGCAGGATTCTTAGCCCCCATCTAAGGTCATGGAACCTCTGAATATTGAATGAAAGGACCTGAATTTTAATCCCTGCTATTCTCTTTGTGACTTGGGATCACTTAATTTAGAACTGAAAGGAAACTACCTCAGAGGCCTTCTTGCCCAACCCCCCTCATTTTACAGGTGAAGAAACTGAGGCCCAGGACTTGCCCAAGATTATAGAGATAGTAAGCATCAGAGGCTGAATTTGGACCTTCTCCAACTGTAAAAGCAAGGGGTTAGAGCATATGATCTCAAATGTCTCTTCTAGTTCTAAATCCATGCAGGGTATATTCAAGACCACGGTGGAAAATTGGCAGGAGAAGTGTGGCTGTGAGGAAGTAGGAAACATGGCCATTTTCACCATTCCTCTTCTCTTCCCCTTTGTTCTAGCAATGCTTCAAGGGAGGAAGGCAGCTATTAGACTTAGAGGTCACCGGTTTAAGAGACTAGAAATCTGTGGAGGAAAGAGTAGGCAGCCCAGAACTTTCAGGAAATGAGGCAGGTCAGAGAGACTGTTTGAAGCCATAGTGCATTAAAACTTAGAGAGACCTTAGAAAGCATCACATAGAAGACCCTCATTTTACAGATGGGCGAAACTAAGACGCAGATAGGGGAAAGACTTGCTCAAGATCACACAGCAGGTCAGTGGTAGATTCTAGACTCCAACCAAGGTCTCCTGGCTCCCAGTCTTCCTAAGGTTTGCCCCAAACCAACCTTTCTCCTTCCCCTATAGGTTCATTAATGAATCAGTCTTCTGATTCTTGTGACTCCTCCTACCTCCTTCACTTAGGGCCTATGGCTGCTGAGCCTAGGGCTGAGGAGGTGGATGTGGGGATTTGGTCCATTTGGGATCCTGTTGGCTTCATCCTGTTCCACAGACAGCCCCCTTCATCCAAGCCAGCTATCCCACTGATATAGACACTGGTCATAAGGAGGACAAAAGAGTGGGGGAGAGCCTCTATCACCCATCTCTGATGCCGGTAGGGACCAGCGGTTCAAAAGAATCCTCCTATAAGAGGAAGAGCTTTTGATGTATTCAGTGTTACACTAGGAGGGGCTGGTGTGGAAGGACAACAGAGTTAGGCAAAGGCTGCTAGTTTCAGGACCTCACCCCATAAACCACCCACCACACTTGGCCTGTCCTCAGGTCAACCTAATTTGATTGGCCCTTGGCTTTGGGAAATTTTTGAGTCTAAGCTGGGCACACCTATAGGGCAGCAGGGAGAGAATGTGGTACCAAGACAGACCCTGTGGGCCCAGAGCTGAGAACCAGCCTCAGTGGTAGAGCCAGAAGTTGGGAGGCCTGAGTTCCAATCCAAACTCAGTCCTTGTCCCCTCTGGGTCCTTAGGCAAATCACCTCCCCCTGCTGAGAGAGAACAATAGGTAATGATGGAAAGAGTCCTGGGCAGGAAATTAGGAGACCTAGGTCTGAATCCCAGCTGAGCCAATGAGGCCTTTGGCAATTTCTCTTGGCCTCAAAAGTACAGTATACATATCAAAGATTACTATTATTAACCTCTCTGCCCTTCCACACCTATACCATAGATTCAGGGCTTCCAGAGCTGGAAGAAAACTTAGAGATCATATAACCCAAAGCTCTCAGGTGAGAAAATTAAGGCCTAGATTAATGCTAAGGTAGTGACTGGTCCCAGGTCATACTCTACCTCTTAGTGGTGTTGTAAGATTCAAATAAAATAACACATGGAAAGTGCATTAGACCTGTGAATCCCTATACAAATAAAAGGAATTATTACTATTACCCTTTCTGGATCTCCGTTTCCCCATCTGCCAAATGGGTAGAATAATCTTACTGACCCAACTGCCAAACCTATTGTCAGAACTAAGGCCAGGCATAGGAAGGACTTCCCTTGCAAAGGCCCCTAGGTCTGCTGACAAAGAGCAGTGAATTCACCAAGAAAGCTACAAGTGGGCTTCCCCTCTGTCCCCTACATAGGTACTGAACCAGACATCTAGGATTGAGCTCCAGCTGCTGGAGAACTCACTGTCCACCAACAAGCTTGAGAAGCAGCTCCTCCTGCAGACAAATGAAATCCACAAACTGCAGAATCGGAACAGGTACAAAGCCCGAGAGAAAGGGAGGGGCACCTGAGCAATGGGATGGATATCCTGTGGGCTGGCCTGCCCAGCCTGTGGGACCAAGGGATCCAGGGAGGGAACAGAGAGAGAGATGGAGATGGAGACAGATGGAGAGATGGAGACAGAGACAAGGATAGAGACTGAGACAGAGACAGGGATAGAGAGAGAGACACAGAGATGGAGGTAGAGATAGAGACTGAGACAGAGACAAGGATATAGAGAGAGACAGATAGAGACAGATTTGGAGGTAGAGATAGAGACTGAGACAGAGACAAGGATAGAGAGAGAGAGAGGCAGAGAGACAGAGATGAAGGTAGAGATAGAGACAGGGACAAAGATAGAGAGAGAGAGACAGATTTGGAGGTAGAGATAGAGACTGAGACAGAGAAAAGGACAGGGATAGAGAGAGAGACAGATAGAGACAGAGATAGAGGTAGAGATAGAGACTGAGACAGTCAGGGATGGAGAGAGAGACAGATAGAGACAGAGATAAAGCTAGGAATAGAGACAGAGACACAGAGACTGAGACAGAGATAGAGATAGAGACAGAGATAGGGATGGACACAGAGCCAGAGATGGAGGTGGAGATAAAGACAGAAGGAGATAAAGACAGAGACTGAGACAGAGATAGACACAGAGATAGAGACAAGGAAAGAGATAGAGACAGAGATAGAGATAGGGATACAGATAGAGAGAGAAATAGAGATAGGCCTGAGAGTCAGGGGACCCTGGTTACTATCCTACTAGGCAATTAGGTGGTGCAATGAATGGAGCATAAGACTTGGAATCAGGAATACCTAAGCTTAACTCCTACCTCAGACACTTACTAGTTGTATGACCTTGGGCAAGTCACTTAATGTCTCTGTGCCTCAGTTTCCTCATCTGTAAAATGAGGATAATAATAGCACCTACCTGACAAGGTTGTTATGAGGATCAAATGAGTTAACCTATGTAAAGCATTTTGCAAACCTTAAAGAACTACATAAATGCTAGCTATTATTATTGACTCCCTGTGAGACTCCAGGTGGGCCCCAGGGCATGTACCCCCTCTCTCATCATCAAGGCATCTTTGGATCCAAGCTGCCTGCCCCCTGTTCCCATGTAGGGTGGTGGTTGTGGGTAGAGTCCTCCAAAGGGAAACTGAAGGAAACTCCAGGGTATTGGCAGCTCGATCCATCCCAGGTCACCTTCTTCAACTCTCCATGGGCCCACATCCTAACCTTATTTGCAGTCATAGAATGCCAGAGCTGGAAAGGGCCATAGAACACAGAATGTCTGTAGTACACGTGATGTTAGAGTGCAATGGCCCCTAGAACACCTAACCTCAGATCCAGAAGGACGCTCAATGAGCAGCATCCAATCCAACCTCACTGTCTAGCCGGGGCACCCCACAAGTCGGTGGGAGATCCCAGCTCCCTGACAGAAGCTTCCTGGGGCCCCTCTGCCCACCCTGTGTGTTCCTCCTGGGCAGTGTGTTAGAGACACGCGTGCGGGCCATGGAAAGCAAGCACCAGAGCGAGCTGGAGGGCATCCGGGGCGAGAGGGAGAAGCTCCGGCGCCTGGTGAACCGTCAGAGCAGCACACTGGAGGGCCTGGAGAGGAGCCTGCATGCCGCCAACAGCAACACAAGTCTCCTCCAGAGGCAGCAGCGACAGCTCCTGGACTCCGTGCAGCGCCTGGTTCACATTGTCTCCAGCGGCAAAGGTGAGGCTGCCTGAGGACTGCAGGGAAGGGAAGCCGGGGAAAACAATGCCTTGGCCCCAGTCCTCAGGGGTTTGAGCTAGACACACCAGATGATGCTCCATACCTAAATTCTGTAATTCTTAAAAGTCCAGTTCTGCTTGGGTAAGCCCTTGACTCTGAGTAAGTTACTCTCAGCCTCCGTTTTGTCATCCGTCAAATGGGTAGAATAACCATTAGAATCAAAGACGCATGACCTTTCTGACCTGGAAATGGCCCTTAGAGATCACTTAAGCCAACTCCCTCATTTTTCAGAGTAAGATGTGGCCCAAAGGGAAGGGACATGAGAAGTGACTTTCCCAAGGTCACACAGAAAGGTACAGACAAAGAAGTTGCCGCTCACTCGACAGAAAGGGTCAGAGGCCCTAACGGGTCAAAACATTCGTCTAGTCTTTTGAAGCCCTAGGTTTCTAGCTCTTCCTGGGCCCTGGGGCTGCCTTTGGCAAAATCCAGGAACTATTCTAGAAGTCCTTATTTCTCCCACCTCTCAACCACTCCCTCCAGGCTCTTTGCTCAATAGTACCCTGGAGGGCAGCGAGGTAGAGCAGTGGGTAGAGCATCCAGCATGGGGTCAGGAAGACCTGAGTCCAAATTCAGCCTCAGACACTAGCTGCGTGACCCTGGGCAAGTCACTTAACCCTGTTTGCCTCAGTTTTCTCATCTGTAAAATGAGCTGGAGAAGAAAAGGGCAAGCCACTTCAGTCTCTTTGCCAAGAAAACCCAAAATGGGGTCACAAAGAGTCAGACACAACTGAAACAACAAAAAGTATCCTCTGGGAAACTAAAAAGCAGAGAAACACTGATGTTGGAATTTGGGCAGGGTGGTGCAAAGTCTCCAATTGCTATTGAGAATCAGGACACCTGTGTTCTATTGCTGGCTTTATAAGCAATAACTTGCCTTGTGACCTTGGACAAGTCACTTTCCCTCTGGGGCTTTAGTTTTTCCATACGTCAAATAAAGGAATTGGACCAGATCTCTAAAGTCCCTTCCAGCTCTGACGTTCCTTGTTCTCTGAGACATATGGGGCATAGGGGACCCTGCTAGCACAGTCCCTACCATCCCAGCATTTCCTATGGCCAGCTTTGGTGCATAGAGGCCTACAACCAGAGGAGCCAGAAAGGGAAGAATTGAATTTTGTCCTGGTAGTTAGGAGAGCAGGGTGGAAGGGGTCTTCCAGCAGGGCTGGCCAAACCACCAGGCACGATTCCATGAGGGAATTCTGTGAAGTGCTGGACCTGGAGCTCTTTAAATTGGTCCCAGGTGTGTCTCTTCTACCCAGGGCACCATGCCCAGGAGCCTACCCAGGGCACCATGCCCAGGCCTCTCATCTCTCCCAGCCTAAACTCCAGCTGCAGGCATTCTGAATGACAGGCCTCCACGAGGCAAGGAAACCTGACCTGATGTTAGGGGGAAGGATGCAAAAGCCTTTAGAAGAAGTGGGATTTCTTACCTCTTCAGAACTCCTCATCCAAGAAACTCCCACAACACCTCCCCTCCCCACTGGACCATGAATGTCTCTCTTCTGTTCCTACTGTTCCTAGCTCTGCGCAACAGAACCTAGGGATCCCTGGTTCCCAGCAGGTCAGGCTGACCCACAGGGAAACAGAGGATGTGCCCATTCTCTGAAGAAGGCCTCTACTTTCAGTCAATGCATTAAACGATTAAACATTATGTACAGACCTCAGGTTATTAAGTGTGGTGGGTGGAAAGAAAAGAAAGACCCAATCTCCTTCCTGCTCAGAGGTTCGTTTCTGTGTGTGATTTTGAGCAAGTCATTCCTTCTCAGAGCCTCAATTTCCTCTTCGGTAAAATGGAACTCATAGCCCCTGCCCTGCATTCCTCACAGGCACAAGGATATTGTGAGGATTAAATGAGACAACTAATGGGTAAAGAGCTAAAGAAATGTGAGCTATGATTCTTCCTATCTCCCCTTTCCACCCCACCCTAAGTACCAGCTGCCAACATAATTGTCTTAATGCACAGTTCCCTCTTTGCTCAAACCCTGCATGCCTCTACCCCCAGGACCCATCTTGCATTTCAAGACTCACTTTAGTTGCCATCTCCTCCAGGAAGCCTTCCCTGATCCCCTGGCTGAAAGGGATCTCTTCCTCACCCACTTTTCCTGGGGCACTTTGTCTAGATTTCACCTTTGGTCCCATCACTCTCTAGTACATTTATCGATGCATGGGTGTGTGCTCCCACCCTTCCCTCCAAGAAGGTGGGTCATTTTTATCTTTATGACCCCAGTCCCAATATAGAATGAGTGCTTTGTGAATGTTCATTGAACTGAATGGGAAGCAATGTGGCCCAGTGGAAGGGCCTCAGGATTAGGAGTCAGAAGTTCTGAGTTCAAATCTGATCTACCCACCACTTGTCCTGCTCACTTCCCTCCTTGGGGCTTCCTCAGTTACGTCATCTGTGAAATCAGAGGGTTGGACCAGATAACATCTAGCATCTCTTCTAGCAGCACTGTGAGAGAGGGCTGGGCCTGGAGTCAGGAAGACTCTTCTTCCTGAATTCAAATCTGGCCTTAGGCATTTACTAGCTGTGTGACCCTGGGCAAGTCACTTAACCTTGTTTGCCTCAGTTTCCTCATCTGTAAAATGAGCTGGAGATACAAATGGCAAACCACTCCAGTACCTTTGCCAAGGAAACACAAATGTGGTCGCAAGCGGACAAGACTGAAATGACGGAACCGCAGCAAGAGTTCCTTCTGGCTCCGAGTCTATGTTCCTAATGGGAGGAAATACATGAAAGAGAGATAGGAGAGGCAGTCCCAAAAGTCTAAGTGCACTTTTAAACTCTTAAAGCTTAAAACTGCACCAAGACTCTGGGGACATCCTCTATTTGCAACAAACAGTATAAGAAGTATTGATTAAAGCGGGCAAGCTGTGTGCCTAGCCCTTTGTTGGCTTAGATGATCTCTATGGGGCCCATCAGTTATGACAGTCTAGGACGGGCTATGTTCTGTTGGGTCAGCTTAGGGATGACCTATCCCTGCCCCATTTTACAGAGGAAGAAAATGAGGTCCTGAGTGGTCACGTGACTTGTCTATAGTCCCACAGGTATCAGGCATCAGAGATCTTAGGACACCCCAGATTCACATCTGTGATCCTGTCACGTTTCCTCTGTGGGTCCTCAGCGGCTTTGTCAGAAAACCAGGAACAGGGGCAGTAGATGGCGCAGTGGATAGAGCACTGGCCCTGGAGTCAGGAGGACCTGAGTTCAAATCCAGCTTCAGACACATAATACTCACTAGCTGTGTGACTCTGGGCAAGTCACTTAACCCCAATTGCCTCACCAAAAAGAAAAAAAACAAAACAGGGACAATGATAGTGTATCTGCTCTGAGTTCCCTACCACTCTCAGACCCTTTCCCCCAGCCCCCTCCTCCTGGGGAGCACTCAGAAGCTAGAAGCCCCAGCTCCTCAGCTTGTTGGCCAGACTGCAGTTCATCGCCCGTCTGCCCTGAGATCCCCCCAAGCCTTGGAGGAGCCAGCGTTTGGGAAGCCTCACAGCCAAAGCCACCTCTGAGAGTACAATAAACAAATAGTTGGGGGGTAGAAGTTGTTAACATTCCCTGCTTGTTTGTTTTTAAATGCTGTGTCATTTACCCAGTGGGGGTCCCCGGGAGCCAGATCCACTGTGGTGTTTCTCAGTCATCGCATGGAAAATAGTTCAGCACGATCTGGGGTCCTCCGGGACGGAGAGAGACATCATGGGCCCGTCTCTGCTCTTCCAGCCCACCCCACCCCATCCTGAGAAATGTACACACTGGGGTCCATGGAGCAAGGGCCACCAGTGATGGGCAAGAGGAGAAGGAAGGAAGGAGCAAGAATTTATTAAGCACCTACTGTGTGTCGGGCACTGTGCTAGGAGCTTCACAATTATTATCTCATTTGATCCTCACAGCAGCCCTGGGAGGTTGGTGGTATTATTATCCCTATTTCACATCTGAGGAAACTGAGGCAAACAAAGATTAAGTAACAAAAAAGTTACATGAGCTGGGCTACAGAAGATAGGGAGGCAGAAAGGTACACTGGGAAAATAATAGCTTTGGAATCAGAGGACCTGGGTTCAAATCCCATCTTGGATATTTACTACCTGTAACATCATCATCATCATCATTCTACCTGTGTAGTATACTACCTGTACAAGTCACTTAACCTCCATGGGCCTCAGTTTCCTCATCTGTAAAATGAGAGGGATGGACCATCTGGTCTCTGAGGTCTCTTCCAGGTCCAGATCAATGAACCTGTAATCCTGGGACAGAAGAGCATTCAATCCTAAAAGGAATGAGATGTTAACAGCTGATTGCAGGCACAAGGTAGGCAAATAAGAGGATAGCTGAGGGCAGGGGACCAGAATCTTCGAGAAGACCCTGCCTCTCTAATCCTAAGTAAATAGTGCTTCTAGAAACAGATTCAGGTAATGTTAAGACTGACTCTACAGGATGGCATAGAACCTTAGACCACAGAACATCTGAGGTGGAAAGGACTTGGGTCTGGAACTAGCCGTTCTGGTGTCTAGATGAAGGACCAGAAACCACGGCCCAGGGAAATCAGGGATGATGGGGGCTGGGAGGGGAGGGGAGGATGATAATAATAGCTAGCATTTACATAGCAATTTAAGGTTTGCCCAGGGTTTTATGTATGTTCTCTAGACCTTCTGGTAGCTCCCACCTCGTACCTAGCCATTGCCCCTTGTAAGTGAGACTGGGACCATGGTATGGGCCCATGGGGACTGGAGCTCACCTAGGCTATGGCCTCAGAGGACAAGAGGGAAAGAGCAGGGGAAAGGACTGGTATCATCTGCTATTTTTCTTCTCTTCACTAATTGTTCTTATTAATTGGGTATTAAACTCAGTTGTTTCTACCTATTGAAGTGCTTTCTAAATTTCATTGCCCTAGGAAAAAGCTCCTTTGTCCTCACTCTAGTTATACCTCAGCATAAAACAGAAAAATGATAGATCTTTTTTTAAATTTTATTTATTTTTAGTTTTCAACATTCACTTCCACAAGATTTTGAGTTCCAAATTTTCTCCCCATCTCTCCCCTCCCTCCACCCTAAGACAGTGTGCATTCTGATTACCCCTTCCCCTAATCTGTTCTCCCTTCTATCACCCCCCTCCTTCTCTTATCCCCTTCCCCTTCTATTTTCCTATAGGGCAGGATAGATGTCTATACCCCATTGCCTATATATCTTATTTCCCAGTTACATGTAAATACAACTTTTAACATTAGTTTTTAAAATTTTGAGCTCCAAATTCTCTCCTTCCTCCCTCCCCATCCATCCTCATTGAGAAGGTACGCAATTTGATATAGATTAGACATGTAGTCACGCAAAACACTTCCATAATATTCATGTTATGAAAAACTAACTATATTTCCCTCCATCCTATCCCACCACTTGTTTATTCTATTCTCTTTTTCACCCTGTCCCTCCTCAAAAGTGTTTGCTTCTGATTACTCCCTCCCCCAATCTGCCCTCTCTTGTATCACCCCCCTTATCCCCTTTCCCTCTACTTTCCTGTAGGGTAAAATAGATTTCCATACCCAATTGAGTGTGCATGTTATTCTCTCCTTAAGCCAAATCCATTGAAAGTAAGGTTCACTCATTCCCTCTCACCTTCCCCCTCTTCCCTTTCACTGTTAAAGCTTTTTCTTGCCTCTTTTACATGAGATAACTTATCCCATTCTACCTCTCCAAAATGGGAGATCTTTAAGGGATTTCAGAACATAGAACATTACAGCTGGAAGGGACTTTAGAACATAGAATATTGGAGCTGGAAAGAACCTTAGAGACCATGGAGTCCAAGCCTTCAGTTTACAGAGGTATGAACTGAAGCCCAGGGAAGGACAGAGACTGACCCAAGTTCACACAGCAAGTTAGTGGTAGGGCCACAATTTCTGCTCCTACATGTGGGCTCTTTCACTACACCAATGAGATATGATGCAGAGAGAAAAAAACCAGACACAAGATTTGGAATCAGAGGGCCTTGGTTCATATACTGGCTCAACTCTTTACTACCTGTGTAAACTTGGACAAGCTACTTCTCTCTGAACCCCATTATTTTCCTCTGAAAAGTGTGTGTGTTGGGCGGTGGCGGTGGGGGTGGGGGTGGACTAGATGATCGATGAGGTCCCTTCCAGCCCTTAATCTATGATCCTAGGACCCGTCCTTCAGAGGTGCCATTTGGATCCTAGAGAGCTAAAGCAGAGGAAACAACACGGTGGGAGAGGACCTGGGTACAACCCTCTCCTGTGGGAGCCTATGGGTGTGTATCCATAGGACAGAATGGGAGGTTGGAAATAGCTGGAGCTTGTGGAGACTATCTGGAATCTTGAGATCTCCCAAGCCAGGGAGGGGGACAGAGCATCAGCCTAGGATCCTGGTTCTAACCCTGACTCACTACTAACTTGCTGTGAACTGGGACAATTCATCTTCCCTTTTCTAAAGCCTCAGTTCTCCTATCTATAAAAATGGGGGTGCTAATCCTCACCCTGTCACCCTCACCTAACTGTTGGGAGGCTCAAAGGAGATGCATTTGTAAACCGTGAAGGATGGCGCAGGTATAAGAGGGGGCCCTCCCCCCCAGGGTGACCATCCCAGGCTGACCTGATCCTTTGTTCTTTCCCCAGTTTTCACCACCTTCCCTTTTTTGCCTTTGTACACTCCAGCTCCGTTACAGAAGGATGAGCAATCCTTCCAGGACTGTTGGGAAATCCGCCTCTCCGGGGTCAACATCAGTGGTGTCTACACTATCCACGTGGCCAACTGGACGGAGCCCAAGAAGGTTGGGGGGCAGGGGGAACCTCCTTGGCTTTCTACCCAGGGCCATCAAGCAAGGATATCATTCATCAAACTCCAAGAGCCCTAATCCAACCCCTACATTTTATAGACTAAGAAACTGAGGTCCCAATCACACAGTTAGATGGTGGTGAAGCTGAGACTAGAACTCAGATTTCCTGACTCCTGAACAAAGGCTCTGCTTCTAACATCACACTGCCTTACAGTCCCCCTGCTCTCACTGTTCTGAATACCTACAGATCTTGGAGCCTACAGCTCCCAGAGATAGCCAGGAAATCCCTTCTCTGCTAGGTCCTTGGGGATCTCCTTGGCAGGAGCTACCACAGAGGAGCAGGAATATTAATGGGAAAATTGGGGCAGTTGGAATACACATTGTTACATTAAGGAGAGAAGTGTGGGTGGGAGTTGGGGCAGCAATGGGGAGCCTCTTTCTAACTTCTTGTCTTGAATCCTGACCCCAGCAGTTCCAAGGATAGAGAGGGCTTGTAGGAGGGCTTGACCAGGTCTGCCTGCGGGGACTGAATTTCCTGTGGTGAGAGAGGACACATAGAAGAGACAGTCATCCCTTTATCCTTTCTTTCATTCACCTATTCATTCAAATGTGACCCCAGAAAGTTTCTTTCCCACCAGGTATACTGTGACATGGAGACCAGTGGTGGGGGGTGGACCCTCATTCAGCGCCGAGTGAATGGCAGTGTAAACTTCCAAAGAAACTGGAAAGATTACAAACAGGTAATGTCTACCTAGACCCCCAGGCTTGTTGGCTTCAAGGAGCAGGGAGCTCCCTGAGGGCTAGGAAGCAGTCTGTCTGTCTGTCTGTCATCTGTCTATCGTCTGTCTCTCTGTGTCTGTCTGCCTGTCTGTCAGTCTGTCTGTGTCTGTCTGTTATCTGTCATCTATCTGCCTGTCTGTCTGTCTTTCGGTCTGCTTCCCTCTCTCTCCAGACCATGGCTTCTCTTTTCTGTATTAGCATCACTCTTCAACAACTTCAGGGACCTCATAGGGTTTCCTTCCAAAGGGACCAGAGGGCAGCCTTGGTACATTGCCTAGCCTTCCAGAGACTACTGCCCATCAGGTCCCTAATGAGTAAGAACAAAAAGGCCCTTTCTGTGTATGGATTAGTGGAAAGAGAGAGGAAGTGTAACATAAAACACTGGTATCAAACTCAAATAGAAAAGGGACCACTAAACCATAGATAAAGATTTTTCCTATCACACATTGACTTAGAAAACCACATATTGACATTATCTATGGCCTATTGCATTTTTCATTTATTTCATTAAATTATTTCCCAATTACATTTTCATCTGGTACAGGCCACAGGATGGCAATGTGCATTGGTGAAGGGAGTTTCCTCCCAGGGAGTTCTATACACCAATGAAAACCCAGGCCCAGACCAAAAAATAAAGGGGGATGGGAGAGAGTAGAAATAGAAATTATCTTGAAATCAGGAGTCCTGGGCTCTTATCCTGGCTCCAACATGCATTAACTATGTGACCCTGAGCAAGTCACTTTCTTTCTCTGAATCTGTCTCCTCCTTTGAATAAATGAACACGCATTTATGGAGCAACTCCTGTAGGCAAGTTCTACATTAGGCACTCAGATACAAAAACAAAAATGAAATAATGCCTGACCTTGAGCTTAGATTCTATTGGGAGAGACAACATATATGTATATAAGTATGGACAAAATGAATGCATAGTAATTTTGTTGGGGGGTGGGGAGCTAGGTGGTGCAGTGGATAGAGTTCTGGGTCTAAAGTCAAGAAGAATTCATCTTCCTGAGTTCAAATCTGACATTAGACACTTACCAGCTATATGACCCTGGGCAAGTCACTGAACCCTGTTTCCCTCAGTTTTCTCATCTGTAAAATGAGCTGGAGAAGGAAATGGCAAACAACTCCATTATCTTTGCCAAGAAAACCCCCAGTGGGGTCATGAAGAGCCAGACACAACTGAAACAACTGAATAACCACAATTTTGTCAGGAAAGGCACTCCAAATCAAGCTGAAGGGATCAGGAAAAGCTTCATGGAGAAGGGAACACTTGAGCAGGGATTAGGGATTCTCCAAGGTGGAGGAGAGGAGGGAGGGCATTATGGGGGCATGACCCCTGAGCAAAGGCATGGAGATGACAGATGAAATGCTTTGTGTGAAGAACATGTAGGACAGCTTGGCTGGACTGAAGAATGTAGGAGTGGGAGACTGGAAAGGGAGATTGGAGCCAAGTTGGGAAGGGCTCTAAATGCCAAACATGGGAGTTTGAATTTGATCCTAGAGCTAATAGGGAGCTATTGTGATTTTCAGAGCAGGGGAATGACGTAGTCAGATGTGGACTTTAGGGACGCCATGCTGGCAGCATGTAGAGAATAGACCAGAGAGGGGACAACTTAAGTCAAGGAGACCAGTTCAGTGGTTATTGCAGTTGTCCAAGTGAGAGGTGATGGGGCCTGAATGAGGGTGGAGCCATGTGAGCAGAGAGATGCTGGATGAGAGAAATGCCCACAAAACATTCCAGTCCCCGAGCTCTGGGGAGAGACTAAGTGCTGCAAATATAATCTGGAAGTCATCTGCAGAGAGATGATAATTAAACCCGTGAGAATTGAGGAGGTTACCAAGACAGAGTGTAAAGACAGGAGAAGAGGGAAGGAAGGCAAGAAATAAGCATTTAGTAAGTGCCAACTATGTGCTAAGCAGTTTGCGAATTTCTCATTTGATCCTCACTACAACCCTGGGAGTTAGGTACTATTAATTTTCCCATTTTACAGATGAGGAAACTGAGGCAGACAGAGGTTAAATGACTTGCCTAGGGTCAGATAGCTAATAAGTGTCTGAGGGTGGATTTGAATTCAGGTCTTCCTGATTCCAGGCCTAGGGTTCTAGCTACTATGTCACCCAACTGCCTATTTGATCCCGCTCAATGATGTCAAATGCTGCAGAGGTCAAGAAAGATAAAAATCAACCAAAAAAACACCAAAACCATTGCATCTGGCCATTCAAAGATAGATTTGGAAAGAACAGTTTCAGATGAGTCATGAGGTCAGAAGACAGATTGCAATAATTGAGAAGTGAGTGAAAAGAGAGAAAATGCAGATGGTGTAGATAGCTTTTTTCCAGGAGTTTGGCTGTGAAAGAGAACAGAGATGTAGTGATAGATTGAGGGAGTATGTAGGATCACTGAGGGGTTTTGAAGGAAGATAAAGAGACAGGCAAACACACAGAAAGAGACAGAGAGAGATAGAGACAGAGACATAGAAAGAGACACAGAGAGAGACAGAGAGAGACAAAGAGAAATGGAAGGAGTGAACTGGCATTTATTAAGCATTATTCAGCAAACAAGATAATACCTGGCCTTGGGGAGCTTATATTCTAATGGGAGAATACATTTTAAAAACAAATAACTAGAAAGCTATGGACCCAGGCAATGATATGGGCGCCTGGCTCCCCTATCAGAATTTGAGGAGGGAGAGGGGGCAGAAGGAGAGAGAGCCAGAAATTGAGTCCTACTATCCAGGTGGGTGAAAATAGTCAGAAAACAAGGCTAAAATGAAGCTGGGAGACCACAAGAAGTGGTATGAATGGAAGAGCCCTGAGAGATTCTCTAAAATGGGCCTGGGGCCTCTCCTAAGCCTGCTGCAAAGAATGCATTTTGTCAACCTTAAAGAACTAAAGCAGGCTTCCTAATGTGGGATCTGTGAATTTGCTTTAAAATTGTTTTCAATGACTATATTTCACCATAACTGATTTCCTTTGTCATGCTATGTATTTTATTTTTAGCATTTAAAAGCATGGTTCTGTAAAGGGGTCCACAGGCTTTACTAGTCTGCCAGAGGGGTCTATGACACCCAAAAACGTTAAGAATCTCTAAGCTGGAGGAATGTGAGTTAATATTATTATTATTATTATTATCCCCCAGTGAGAGAGGAGGCTGATGGGGGGAGCCAGAGGCTGATGCTGACCGGCCCTCAGAGGGTCACTACATGGTGTGAGAGCCTTTCCTGAGAGCAGGCCCAGTGAGAGGGGGAAGCAAGCAGAAGCATGGTGGAGGGTGGAGGGTGGGAGTGGTCCTGAAAGAGAAGTCAAAGGAGACAACAAGAATGGGGAAAATAGCCGAGAAGGACGTGGCCGAATGCTGATTGGACAGATTTGCCTTGTGCTGGCTCAGACTCCAACTGCACCTCTCTGGCTCTGTGCCCCAGCCCTGCCCTGTCCAGAGCTCACCTCACCCCATCCGTTCCCCTTTGCCTTCTTCCCCTCACAGGGCTTCGGCGATGCTGCTGGGGAGTACTGGCTGGGCAATGAGGCGCTGCACCAGCTCACCAGCCAGGCATCCTATGCCCTGAGGGTGGAGCTGCTGGACTGGGAAGGGAACCAGGCTTACGCCCAGTATGAGCGAATCCAGCTGGGGAGTGAGCAACAGTTCTACAGGTGGGAAGCCAAGGGGGAATTAGGGCTTGGGAAGGGGTTGCTGATCTCTCTGGGAGTTCCCTACAGTCCCAGGTCACTAGGCTCTAGATGGTTGGGCTGGCCAGGTCAGAGATGATGGATAGGGGGTCAGGCCTTGGGTGGAACCAACCACGGCCATATGTCCCCCATTCAGATTCACATCACTAGGAACCCAAGAGAGTGGGGACCTGTCCTCCTGAGGCAGCAGTTCAAAGGCTCTCTGCCCAGTGGGGTCATGCAGAGGAGAAGGCGTGTTAGCACCCAGCTCCCTCCTGTCCACAAGAGAGGGGGCAGGAAAGGGATGACTAACAACAACAGAGCTTAAAAAGACATGGGAACTCATTAAGTCCAGCCTCCTCATTTGACAGAGAAAACTGAGGTCCAGAGAAGGGATGTAACAAAGTGGTCCAGGGTCACACTCTGAGTTTAGTTGCAGAGTCAGGATTAGCACCCAGGTCTCTAGAACCTTTCAGCCAAGCAGGGATGCTGGTTCTAAGTTTTGGCAAATAGAAGCCTAACAAAATCAAGCAGAAAGGCTGGATTTGAAGGGGAAGGAAAACTATCCCCAAAACACATCTTTTCTTGATCAATTCAGCAAACTTTTACTATTTATTAAGCACTTATCTTGCAGATTTGACCAAGGAAAACAGAAGTCAAGAGATCTGCTCAGGGTCACATAGCTAGTAAGTGTAGGAGGTAGGATTTGAACCAAGGTCTTTTTGACTCTAGGTCCATCATTCTATCCACTCTACCATGTTGTCGCTCTACACCTTAGGCCCTTACAGCCGTCAGGAGAAAAGTTTTTTAAGCCTCACATGACTAGGAATGGGAATTATTGTTATAGTTTATCACTTAGCAAGCATTTATTAAATACCTACTATGTATCAGGCATAGTACTGGGTGCTGAGGATACAAAGACAAAATCCAAATAGTCCCTGCCTCCAAAGAACATCCTTGACCATCTCCCACTACCCACTCTCCTCCATTACTTGTCCCCAGCTGAAAATCATATCTTGTTCTCAGATTTTCCTAGAGAATTTGTCTGGATCTAATAATGAGGGTGCCAACATGTACCTATATAGATAAATACAAAATACACACAAGGTAACTTGGGGTGGGGGGGTGTTGCTGGGAAGGAAGGTACCAACAACCAGGAGAAATAGGAAAAGCCCTCTGAAGAAGGTGACATGAGCTGAATCTTGAAGGAAACCAGGAATTTCAAGACACAAACTAGGCCTTGTAGGCCTGGGGGATGGTACAAAGATATGGAGATGGGAAATGAAGAGGAACATGTAAAGAACAGCAAGAAGGCCAATATGACTAGACTGTAGAGATGGGGGGCAGGAATAGTGTGTCATGAGGCTGCAAAGGTAGGATAGGGTCAGGAGGTAAATCATTTTCAATCCTAACCAGAGGAATTTATATTTGATCCCAGGTAATAGGGAGCTACAGTTTGTTGAGTAGCATGGTCAGTCTTGTGATTTAAGGAAATTGCTTTGTCAACTTTGTGGAGGATGGGTTGGAGGAAGGAGAGACTCGAGTCTGGAAAACCAATTAAAAGATTATTGCAAATGACCCAGGCAAGAGGTGATGACGGCCTTGTGGGTGGAGAGAAGAGGAAAAATGGGAGAGATGTTGTGGAAGTAAAAATAAGATTTGGAAAATTATTGTTTACATGGGGTAGGTAAGTGAGAATGAGGATGACACCAAACCTGGGTGACTGGAAAGATGGTGGTTCCCTTGACAGTAATAAGAAAATTCAAAAGAGGAATGGGTGGGGTTGGGGGGAGAAGATAATGAATTTGGTTTTGGAGGCGTTGAGTTTGACTGTCCCATCCAGTTTGGACATCCAGTTTGACATTTTCAGTGGGTTCAATATAAAGAGCTGGGCTCAGGGGCATTCTAAAACCAGTTCATCCCTGCTTATGAGAGCTGGTTGTTAAATTTTCAGTGTGAGCATTTATACACTATAAATCAAGGCTTGATTTATTGTTTTGTTGATTGTCTGGGCTTTGAAAAGTGATGGAAAAAATGTTAATATTGCAGATTAAACTTAAGTGTGTCCTGGGTACATTCAGAATTGGTTTCTAAACATTTATTAACACACCCCTGGTTGGGCTGGATATATAAATTGGGGAGCTATCTGCATAGAGATGATAATTAGTTCTTATTATAATGATAGGGTGGGTACCACTTGTGCACAAATAAAACAAAAGGTAGAATGCAATAGGGACAGAGGAAAAATCCAGACAAATGCTCTAGAAAAATCTGAGAACAAGCTAGAATTTTCAGTGGGGGCATGGAATGGGGTGGGGGTGGGGGGTAGTAGAAGATGGTCAGGGAATGCTTCATGGAGGAAATAGCTCCCAAAGGGCAGAGATGAGAAAGGAGGACCTCCACAGCAGGGGAGACAGCCTGTGAGAGAAGAGGCAGGGAAGAATGAGGTGTCAGGACACCCGGTACTTCAGGCCGACTGTAACCTAGGACATGAACGAGAGGAGGGCTGTTTGTTGATCATTCTTTTAAGCTCTTACTCTTTGCCAGGCACTATGTGAAATAAGGTTAGGACAGTAGGCTTAAACCAGATTGTGGAGGGCCTTCAATGACAGACAGAGGAATTTTGGTTTTATCCTATAGACAATAGAGAACTACAAAGTTTTGTGAGCAGGGGAGTGATACGATGGGGAGTGTCATGGTTAGACTTGTTTGCCTGTACAAGGTGCAAGGCCCAACAAAGCTTACGCTCCTGGTTCACCGTATAGTGGAGGAGGGAGGGGTTCTCCTTTTGTTTGGGAGACCCGGGAGCAACCTTGGGGTTGGGGAGGGGTGGGATGTGGAGAGAGAGAGAGGGAACAGCCTCAAAAACCTGAGCCTCCCTACCCTGCCAGGGGTGTGACCACCTGGCTGTGAACAAGTCATATCCCTTCCTTGTGCTTCTTCTTCCACTGTGATAATAGCCCAGCGCAGACACCAAAGTCCAGCCTCTGAGAGCTCAGAGGGTGGAAGGAGTGGGCTGAGATGGTCTGGGAGGGCTTCCCAGGGGAGCAGACACTTGAGTGGGGCTAGAAAAACAGATGGATTACAGAGAAGTAGAAAGAAACAAGGAGGGCCCTTCAGGCCAGGAGAACCATGTGAACCAAAGAAGAAGCCCACCCTATTCCCAGAATGTTGCAGCCTGGCGGCAGTGGGGGAGTCTGCATGGGAAAGTACAAATGACTGGTCCAAGGCACTACATTCCTAGGGACTATATCTTATCATCATAAGGCAAAGACTCTGACTGTGCAGTACGACTGACTTTATCTGTTTCTCAATAAGCATTAAGTGCTTACCATGTTTCAGGCCTGTCCTAAGAGCTGGGGATACACAAAGAGGCAAAAAGGTGGTCCCTGCCCTTAAGGAGCTCACTGATGGGGGAGACACTATGTAAATGATGACGTACATACTAGGTATCTCCAGGGTCAATGGAAAGTGCTTTCAGAAGAAAAGGCACCTGGGAAAGAGGAGTGGGAATGGGAGGGAAGCAGCCTGCCAAGCTCTACTGCAGAAGATGGGATTTGGTCTGGTGTGTCCAGATACGCTCACACATTGTAGGAAGCTGTCCAGTGAGTGGCTAAAGGTACAGAGAAGTCAGCTAGAGACAGTGAAGTCTTTGTGTTTGTTAGGCTTCCTATAATGGAAGGGGAATCAGGACAGATGGTTTGGGGGCATATGGTAGAAGTCATTGAACATCAGTTCACACTTAGTCCTACAGGCAATGGGGAACTATAGGTGGTTTGTAGCTGGGATTTAATTTCTCCCCTTGTACTCCCTTGTCACTCTAGATACCTCCCACTCCCCAGGCAAGAGGGAAGGCCAGAGGCTCTTAAGAGGGGCCAAGGACTCTTACGCCAGACTGCCTAGGCCTCAGTGGACCAGGGGGATGTTACAGTTTGACTGTTTCCCAACAAGGTAGAAGATGTGAGAAGCCTGGCTCCCTGAGAGTGCTTCTCTACCTCCTCCCACAGCTGAGAAAGGCCAGCTAGTTCTGGACTGGGGCAGATACATACACGTGTACTGAGTCAACCTGCTTAGGGGCAGTGCAAGAAACACACACCTGTTCACTATTACAGCCACACATATAGACAAACACTGAAGCCAGAGGGACACATACAAACATAGATGAAGGCAGTTATGCCTGCACATACATAGAGATACACAGAGAGACACAAATATGCAAAGTCCCATTGACACATGCAAACAGACACAGCCAAACACAGGCAGTCATAGACAAAACCCTCACACCTCTACTCCCACAAACCCACAAAAATACTCACAGGCACACACTTGTAAACACAAATATACATACCATAACATGCACAAATCCACATACATAAACACAGATACAAATATACATGCAGAAAAATATAAACACACACACTCCCAAATATAAACACACAGAGAGGCAAACATGAATGAAAAAAGAGGTGACTCATAGTATGTCATATATAGGTAGATACATATGTGTGTAGTATATATAGACATATACATACACGTACATAATACATGTGTGTATATACACACATGGCATATTCACAGAAAAGACTGATTGTCTAAAATCCAAACCTATTGTGAGCAAGCCTCCTGGAACGTCATTCGGTTTGTCTAAAAACTGAGAAGTGAAAGGGGCACCTCCTCCCGGGGCTGCTATGTGATGGGGGCTGTGGAATAGAGGAAGAACCCTAGACTTAGAATCAGGAGAGACCTGCTTCTGAGACCTACTAGCTTTGTGACCATGGGCAAATCACCTAATTCTTCTGAGCCTCAGTGTCCTCATCTGTAAAATGGGGATTAAGATACCTGTAGTGACTTGCAGTACCTTAGATGGTTGTGGGAAGGATCAAATAAGATGATGTACATACAGGATGTCTCAAAAGTTTTAGTGTGGTTTTAAGTGATTAAAGATTTAAACTACACTAAGACTTTTGGGACACCTTTTTTCTAAAAGACTAGGTAAATGCCAGTTGGGATGTGGAAGTAGGGATGGAGAGAGAGAATAAGATCCTAAGACTTGGATCCTTTCCTGAGAGAGCTCATCATACCAGCTGAAGAGATCATTAGCAATTTTGGGCAGATTCTTTCCCCTCAGGTCCCAGTGAGGATTGAAGACAGAGAGTGCTGGAAGGAGGCAGAGCTTGCTGGGAGCTGGTATGGTCAAGGAAGGCTTGCTAGAGAAGACCATCTGGGCCTTGAAGAGTTACAGAATGTGGACAGGCTGATCGGGACGGGGCTTTCTGGAAGGCGGGGAGACAAAGGACAAAGTACACATAGTGAAGCAAGAAGTTCCAAGGTTTCAATAGCTATGTGCTACCAGACACCCGCCCTCCAGAGTGCAAGTCTCATAGTAACCCAGGGTCTCCCTGGAAATGCCCTCCTCCAGCAGCAGCCATCCAGCCCATCTCCTTAGAGACAGGCTCTTTGTGCCTCTCAAGACTGTCCCTTAATAAACTCGACCGCATCTGAATGGATGAGAACTTACTGGAGGGCCTCCCCACCCTTCCCCCTCCTAGGAATAACAATGCTTCCACAGGCTGAGTCCATTCTCATTCCTTATTCTTTCTGTTCCTCTTTCCTTCCATTCCCCTCTCTCCCCTTCCCTTCTGACCTGTCCCTTATGGGGACGCTGGGATCTCCAGGTTGACGCTGAAGGAGTACAGTGGCACAGCTGGTCACCAGAGTGGCTTGGTCCTCCAGGGCACCAACTTTAGCACCCGAGATTCTGACAATGACAACTGTCTTTGCAAGTGTGCCCAGATGCTGTCTGGAGGTGAGGACCAGGGCAGAGAGGGGAGAGATGGAGAGGGAGGGAAAGGGGAAAAATGAAATGGGGGAACCAAACCTAATGCTCCTCTTCTCCTAAACCTCTGTCCAACATCACCAATCATTCAACAAACATTTATGCACCTACCTACTCCTTAAAGAGCTGGCTGTTCAGCAAAGAATGTACTTAGCTAACCACAGCTCACATCTCTAAGCATTTTGCGTTTACATCTTGTGCTCAACCCAAATACTCAACAGCTTGCCATAGGGTAAGGTGAAGGTAAAAGCACAAACATAAATTTCTATACACATAATATTTCATAACTTCTCCGAATGACTGGCACTATAAACAGGTGGCTGGGCCTTGGTACAACATGTCCACATGGACAAGTCTGCAAAGAGCCTCCAGTTCTCCCCAGAGCAAAGCCATCACCATTCTAGGGCTTGGGAAGGTGCTACCCCATTGGCAACAGACTGGCTCCAAATAGAAGTCCCCTTCCTCTTGAGCTCCTTACAAAGTGGCAAAGGAAACACTGTCTTTCATGTACTCTTACAGTACAGATCACATTCCTTCAGTTTCCACATCTCTAAAATGAGAGAGTTAGACTTGATTATACCTAAGGTCTCTTCTAGCTTTACCATTCTATGCTCCGTGTGTGCTAAGGTCCTTCTTGACTTTTATTTTTAAGGTTCCTTCCAGCTCCAAAAGTCTGTGTTCCATCATTCTATGTCCTGAGGCCCCTTCCAGGTTGAACACTTTATGATTCTAAAATGTGGTTATGTTTGCACTGACTGCCTCATTTAGGGAATAAAAGTGCATACTTACGTCATATTCTGTTTCTCTTTCTTGTGCTGAATTCAGTGGAAAGGAAGGAGACAAGGAAACTAGGCCCAGGTTTCCACTCTCCTCTGTCACTCTCTTTGAGCTGTCAAAAACCATAGGTCACATTTCTATAGCACTTTACAGTTAAAAGCTCTCTTCCTCACAACAGCCTAGAGATAACCGATGCAAATATTATTTCCCCATTTTATCAATAGACAAACTGAAGTTCAACAGAGAAAAGTGATTTGCTGGGGGTCACGCCAATTTAAATAGTAGAACCAGAATTTGACCCTAGGTATGCTGACCCTCAATCTAGGGCACTTGCTAATGGCTTAGCCAAACAATTGATGACAACCAATTAAAACCAGACACTAGCTCTCTGGCAGCTCAGCTAACCAGTAATATTGGTATAAGAGAGAGGGCCTGGTCTGCTTTCTCTACATTTGTAGGTATCTCATAACTATCTGTAGGACCCAGGGTAGTGGGGAGTGGGGAGAAAATATTACAAAACTGCCCATTATACCCTGGGAGCCATCTTAGCCAGATCAGAACAGTGTTCTCTCTTTCCAGGATGGTGGTTTGATGCTTGTGGACTCTCCAACCTCAATGGCATCTATTACCCAGCCAGGCACAATGTCCGAAAACTCAATGGTATCCGGTGGCACTACTTCCAGGGCCCCAGCTACTCACTTCGGGCCACGCGCATGATGGTGAGGCCCACAAACTTCTAGAGCTATGACAGCCCAGGCGTGGAAGGCCATCGGTGGCGATCAGGGGGAGAGACACTCCCCCACCCTGAGGAGAACTACCTAAAGCTCAACACACCAGGAGGGTGACTGTCTGAGATGCTTGAAGGTCTGTCTGGAGGAGGAGGAGCGGGACCTCAACAGACTGGTGGATTCCACAAATTCATTTGTACTCCCCAAAACAAGACCAGCTTTGGGTAGCACCAAGATGCTGGCAGTCAGGGTTGGAGTAGCCTCACCAAGATGGCCAGACTGTCTCCTAGAGGCCACATTGGCATTGGCTCAGATTCTTGTGGTTCTCTCACCCTGGAAAGGTCTCACAGAGCAGTTTCTTCTGGGTTCCTTGGACACAAGCCCCACTTTGGGGAAGGGAGGCTTCCTTTCTCCTTATGTTGATCTCCACTTAATTCTACTTCTGTTTTGACCTCTCTCTCCCACCATCTCCCATCCTCTCCTGGCCTTAACCATCCTCTCCGAATCCAGCCCATTATCCTTTCCATCCTCATGAGATCTGGGCAGCCCCTCCTTGTCCTCAGTGCTGCCATCCAAGGGCCTCATTACATGGCCAGATGAACTGGCTCCATCTCTCTTCCCTGCCACCACCACCCACACACATTTTAATTAGATCCAGAGAATCATCTTCATTCAAAAAGACCAAACTTTCAAGTCCTTGGTTTCTGCTGGGCTCCCTGGCTAGAAATACCAGCAGTGTAGATTGCTCTGCTGAGTGTGAGGAAAACCAAGGGCAGGAGAAGGGATGCACTTTGGCTTTCTAACTATGAGGTGATTGGAAACCTCTACTTAGCATAGGCTTTTCAAGTGCTTCTCTCCATCTCAGAAGCAGACCTCACTGAGGAAGACCTTGGGTTGGCCTTAATGATGTGACTCCTTCTCAGAAACACTTATCAAGCCTATTTGGCCTTAAGGGAATCTGTATCCCCAGGAGTAGACGGGAGAGCCTGATATGGCCAGGAGGGTCAGGGTAGAGGGAGACTGGTGACCCTAGAGAGATGAACCTGGATGTAAACAGTCAAACCTGGAGAAAGAACCACGCAGAGAACCTGATAGGGGACGTAGGAGTGGCATGGGAAATTGTAACAGCTCGATCCCTGGCCTTGAGGATTCTTGCCATGTTCTGCCAATGGGCCCGGTGGTAAAGACAAGAGGACCACCTAGATACCCAGCCCATTTTTTCAAAGGATTAAAACCAGAGTCTGCTTCAGGACCCAATTACTCTGTTGGGCAACCACTAGTCATCTCAGGCCAGGCCAGCTTTCTCTTGGATCAGGCATCTACCCACCTTCTGGGCAACAAAAATGTGCAAGAGACACAATTGGTCCAGAGTACCACCCTCCGCCATGCAGTTGTCCTCTGTCTATGGCGATTCCCCTCTTCATTTTCCCAATACCTTGTGTTCTCCCCGCATCCCTCCTAAACCTATTTCCTGGAAAGGAGGTGGGATGTCACTAATCTCTCTCTGAAACTACCCAGCCCTGTGTTCCCTCTCCTAAGGGAACTTGTGTCCTTAATGTGGCCACTATTGGGGGAAGGGGATGGCAAAGGGAAGGGAGGTAGGAATGAAGGGCTTTATTCCCAGTAGAGGGATATCCCAGCTTTAGCAAACAGATAGGGAAGGTCCAAAGGTGTAGGAAGCCTCCTATTCTGTGTCTAGGTAAGGCCAGCTCTGTGGTCCTGGCCTTCAAGTACTCACAATCTAGTTGGAGATAGCAACTCCATGAGCAAGCAGGGAAAAAAGAAGACACATATATCATAGGGCTCTGGAAAGGGCAGTGGTTCAAAGGATAATCCACAAAAAGGAAAGGATCTGAGGTCTCTTCGAGTTCCAAATACATGATCCTGTGATTTGGGTAATAGAATGTGAGACTCATGTTTTGTTAGAGCTAGTAAGCTACAGACAGGACAGTAGGTATTCTAAGAAGGAGAGATCAGTTGGGTTTGGAATAATCAGGGAAGGTTTCCAAGAGAGAGGACACAGAATAGATTGGAAGAGACTAGAATTGTGTGCAGAAGGACGAGTGGGATTTGAGTGGATAGAGAGAGGCAGGGGAGGGCAAAAAAAAAAAACCAGAAGTTGTCAAAGCTCTTTTGTCCTTGATTCAGAGAATGGCTTAACGCATTGGATGCCAGAGTCAGGATCCCAAAAGAAAACTGAGCCAAATCTCAGTTGCTCACAGCATGTGAGGCAGTATTTTGGGATCAAGGCCTGGGTGTGAATCTCAGCTTTACTCCTTACCAGCTGCTAGACCTTGGACAAAGGATAACCTCCCTGGGTCTAAGTTTCCTTATTGGTAAAGTAAAAAGGGTTGAACTAGATGAACTATCTCAGATCCCTTCCAGCTGGAAATATATAATCATAAAATTTAATGGGGATAAATGTAAAATCCTATACTTGGGTTCAAAAAATAAACTTCACAAGTACAAGATGGGAAAGGTATGGTAAAATAACTTCCATTCTGAAAAAGATCTGAGAGTGCTAGTGGATTAAAAGCAAGGGTGTGCTGGTAAATGTTTAACAATTGACTTTTCCAAAAAATGTTTGGCACTCACACTTTTAAGTTTAGTCTGCATTATTAACATTTTTCCAGCACTTTTTAAAATCTAGACAACAAAACAATAAATCTAGCCCTGATTTGTAGCATTTGCTGATTTCCAAGGTATATAGGCTCACACTAGAAATTTAACAGTTGGGCTCTTGGGAGCTGGTATGAGTTGGCTCTGGCACATCCCTGAAAAAAATACCAGTCAACAGTCTGATATGGTAGCCAAAGATCTAACATGATCTTAACCTCCATTAAGAGAAAAATAGTGTCTGAACCAGAGAGGAGTTAGATAATCCCACTACTATATTTTACCCTGATCCGAACCCATCTGAAACATCACACTAATTCTAGGTGTTACATTCTAGGAGAGACATTGATTGGTTGGAGAGCCTACAAGGGAGGGCCTGAAGGTGAAGGGCATTGGCATTGTACCATAGAAGGAATGAATGAAGAAACTGAAGATGTTTTACCCTGGAGAAGAGAATACTTAGGAGAGATGAGGAACAGATTAGATTTATTCTGCTAGGCCCTAGAGGCTAGAACTAGGATCAATGGATAGGAGTTGCAGAGAAGCTTGACATAAGGAAGAACTTTCAAACAATTCCAGCTTCCCAATGGGCTGCTTTGGTAAGTCATGGGCTTCCCCCCATCAGAGGTCTTCAGACAAAGGTTATCCAACTAACCACCTGCTAGATATTTTGTGGTGGAGATTCTCATTCAAGTATGGCTCGGGCTAGACGGCTGCTGAGGTCCCCTCTAGGCTTACTGTTCTTGGGATTCCACCACGCGTTCTTTCTGAGGTCCTTTAGCTCTGATTGGCTATATTCTATGGTCTTTCCCAGCTCAGACATTCTAGGAGTCAGATGACTGTCCTAGGCCTGAGAAAGTGATGGGTGGAGTAAAGGGAGGGGGGACAGGGTAGAGCTTCTTACCTTAAAAAACAAAAAACAAAAACAAAACAAAACAGAACCAAAAAAACCAGGGTTGGTCTCCATGGTGGCTAGTATTTGTGGGTCAGCTAGCTTTCAATCCCAGAGCAGAATAGTGATCTAGGCCTGCCTGGGGGTGGGGGAGTGGAGTGCAGTGGAGCAAAGAAGGAAAGCCCATAGTGTTCAAGGCAGAACCTCCTATTTGGGAGAGGGTTTTTTGGTGTCCATGGTGATAAATATTTGTGGGTTGGGTCCAGTACTTTCAATTTCCGGGGGAAAGAGTTCTGTTGTTGGGGCTGGGGAATTCAATAGAACTAGAACGGCCTTCCCCACCCTTCCCCTCAAAGGGCCTAAACCGTGGCTGCTGCTTGTGTAGTGGAAGGAGCCTCGGAATAGGAGGACCAAGATATGGGATCAAGCTGTAGCTCTGCCACTAACTGGTTGTAAGACCTAGACCAAGTCCCTTCCACTTCTGGACCCCTGTTGCCTTCTCTATTGAATGAGAAGGTTGGATTTCAGGCCTCTGGTGTGTTCCTAAGAGCTGCCTAGTGAGTAGAGGGTTGGCTCAAAGCCAGGAAGAAGTGAATTCAAATCTCTGTCTCACTGGAAGCAAAGTTACTTAACCTCTGTGTGTCGGGAATTTTCTAAGACCCAATTACAGAAAAAGTGCCGACCTGCATTAGCAAATAGAGCTTTCTCACCTACTGTTCCCTATAGCAAGAAAATCTCAGATCTACTCCAATTTTTTTTTTACATCATCACTTCCCAATGACCACATTTCCACCCACAAAAAAAAAAAACTATAATTAAGAAAAACAAACAACACTTTGGCCAAACTTGACACAAAAATGCCTCTTCCATTCCTCTAGTTAGTTCACAGCCTCTCTGCTAAGAGGAAAGAACTTGCTAGGTCTCCCCTTCAAAGAGGGTGAGGAGCTCTGGATAACGGAGCTGCGGCTCTTTATGCATTTAGTGGAGCTGCAGTGGAGGGCCGCAGACCATGCCCATGGGCTCCTCATTCCTTCCTCTGAATGGCAGAGAACAGCCAGGGCTCATCTGAGTTACTGAACATCCACAGCCAGGCAGGGGGATGGGGACAGAAGGAGGACCCCCTCCTCTCAGGGATCCATTCTGGGCACCAAGCCCCACCATTGCCCAATGGAACAGATGCCCCTGATCGTAAGTTCAATTGGAGTTTGTGCTGGCTGGGTAGAAAGTTCCTCAGGGCACAGCTCTGTCTCCCCACACCAGGCCCTTTGTACCAAAAGGATGATTTTTGAATGATGGAAGTTAAAGCTGTGTGAGGGGTCTGTGGGTGGAAATGTTGGACAGTAGGTGGCCTTGTCCAGGGTCCCTCATACGACATGGTACAAGCACCCAACTACTTGCATCAGCATATGCATCCATAGACTACTCAGGGCTGGATCAGGCCATAGAACATGGAACAGAGAGCATCTGTGCTACTGAAGTTTGGGAGAGAGCACACCAGTGGCACCTTAAAGTATGGAACAGAGAACATCAGAGTTAGAAGGGACCTTAGCACATAGAACACAAACTTTCAGAGCTAGAGGAGATATTGAAACATAAAATGTTAAAGCTGGAAGAGACTGACTAGTCCAACCACCCCATTTCATAGATGAGGAAAACTTCATGTAGGCCAAGCTGAGCTTAGACCTTGAAATCTACCCCTAGCAGGGAACCTGCTATCTGCTTTTGAGTCAGGGCCAGACCTCCCCTACTGGAGCCTTCTCTCCCTGGGCTCCAGCCTCCCTACAACCCCCCAACTTTGCACTTTCAGAGCAGCAAGGAGAGATGTGAGCCTGTTCCCTCATAACTTTCCTCCCTCCCCCCTTTCCTCCAAGGCAGGCCAAAGAAAAGCGCTTGTTTTATTTTTATATCGACAAATATTTATTTTTGTACTTCAGATTTTATAAGCAGGGCATGAGGGACAGTGGAGGGGGTCACAGCTGGGGAGGAGAACCATGATGGGGGTTTAGGGGCTGGAGCCCAGCCTGGGAGGAGAAGTTTGGCCTAACCCAACAGAAAAACTCCCTAGGGGAGAAACGAAAGCTTAGACCCCAGGCCGCCTCCCCTGCCCAGTTTGTGTTTAGGAAAAAGAAGCAGAAATCAAGGGGCCAATTTTTCCTTGGAAGATCACAAGGCCCCCTCCTGGTTTGTCTCTCAAAATCTAGAAGAGATCTTAAAGGTCCTTGAGCTCAGGGGTCCTTGACCTTTTTATGTCCTGGACCTTTGGAAATCTAGGGAAGCCTATGGATTCCATCTTAGAGTAATTTTTTTAAATGCATAAAATAAAATATATAGGATTACAAAGAAAACCAAAGGTTAGTGAAAATAAAGATGTAAATTCTTTTTTCCCATCCAATTTCACAGATGCCCTGAAATTTATCTACAAACTCCTGGTTAAGACCCTTGATCTACAGATCAGACCTACAGATCAGACAGGGAAACTGAGGCCAAGAGAACAGAAATGATTGCACAAAGTCACATAAGGAGGAAGCCTCCAGATCAGGATTTGAACTTTGCTCTTCTGACTCTGAATCCAGTTCTCTTTCCATTATAATAGGCTGTTTAACTCTGTCTCCTTCCCTCTCTTCTCCTCCCTTTCTCTGCCTCTGTTCTTCCCCTCCTTCCACCCAGAAGTTGGGCTACTTTCTGTTCTCCTTCTTCTCCCTCCCTCTGGGTTCCCCCTCCTCCTTTACCACTTACCTTCTCCAGTTGTAGAAGGTACAGACCCAACCTACCAGTAGGGCCTCGAGCAGCCTCCACAAATCGGCGCCCGGCCTGAGGCCGGCTCATTTCTAAGTCACTAAAGGCATGGTGCAGCCAAGAGTCCTACACTGGGACTCAAGAGATTTAGGTTCAATCAATCAATCAATCAACAAGCATTTATAAAGCACCTGATGTGTACCAGGGTGCTAGGGATACTGAGAAAAATAAAATAACTTCCTACCCTCAGGGAGCTAGGATTCTGTTAGGGGAGACAAAATATACATACATAAGTATACACAGAATATATACTTTTGGACCAGACCAGTGATTTCACTGCTTTAGAAAAGTACTGATGAGGAAACTTCCTTTTCCAGTGCAGAATAGCTCCTGTCTCAGAGGCACAATGATTTAGTTATCTACCTAGGGTCATTCATACAGTAGTGTTGGATGAGGGACTTGAACTCAGGTCTTCCAGACCCAAAGGGTCACTCTCTATCCACTATACCAAACTTCCTCTCACCCAAAACATATAGAAAGTAAAGGGGCAGATAGGTGGCCCAGTAGATAGAGCACCGGCCCTGGAGTCAGGAGGACCTGAGTTCAAATATGGCCTCAGACACATAACACTTACTAGCTGTGTGACCCTGGGCAAGTCACTTAACCCCACTGCCTAGCCAAAAGAAAACAACAACAACAACAACAACAACAACAAAAAGTAAATATAAGGTATTAGAGGAAGAGAGCTGGAAGCCACTGCGATGCTCAGAAAGATCCCACATATGAGATGGTGTCTGAGCTGAACTTTGACAGAAGCTGGAGATTCCAATAGGCCTAAGCAAGGGGGGTAGTGCGTGCCAGTTATGGGGAACAGCCAGGGCAAAGGCCCAGAGAGAAAAGGAATATCATGTGTAAGGAAAGTCAAAGGTCAGTTTGGCTGAACTATACAGCACCTGAAGGCGAGGAATGTGTAACAATCCTGTAACGGGAGGGTTTAAGCCCAGGCTAGATCACTGACTTTGGGTGAGTAACTAAAAGTGAACTGACAGGTCTGACTAGATTACCTCAAGGTCCCTTCCAACTCTGACATTCTATGTTCTAGGGTTCAAGACCCCTTCTAGCTTTGTT